CCCCTCAAAGACCACTGGAGAACACATATGTTTGCATTACAATCCATAACAGTAGCAACATTACAGGGAAGAAGCAGCAATGAAATAATTTCCAGGCTGAAGGTCACCAAAGCATGAGGAACCAACCATATTACAGAGTCACAATGTTAGGAAGGTTGAGAACCACGGGTCTAGCTAGTCAAGAACTGGCTCTCACTCCTGAAGGTTAGCAAGTAGAAAGATGAGCCCTAAAGAAGGGAGTCCAGGCTAACATCTTGTCCTTTGGACTGTGATGAACACTGCTTCTTTTAGCCAATAACTAGCTAAAAACAAACAGAGAAAGATGGGAACTAACCATAGCTCAGGCATGACAATAGGAAATAGCTTATAATCCTAGAATCATGAAAGTTTCACAAAGTTTAAAGCCAGGGATGCTGGACTGAGGAAACAGGGCTAACTTGTGCTACTTGGTCTCTGGACATGAGCCACTTCACCTACTTGAATGGAGGCAGGAGAAAGGCTAGGAGTACTAATTTTGCACATAACCAAAGAAAGAATTATTACCTCTTTAACCTTATAAATGTAGTTAAGAGGTCTTAATCACTTCTAGAAGATGGGATGGGAGGAAGGAAGGGTTTCCTGGGCTATTTCCAAAAGTAAGACAGTAATAGAATGGAATTGACGGGAGTCAGGTCATAGTGACCTGGGCTGGTCAAAGGACCAATGACCAGAAGGGAAGGAAACGGCTTGTGCAGGGTGGAATACACTTTGCTCCTAGAGGGCCTGGGAACCCAGTGAGCCGTGTCTATCAACCTGACCCCAACCACAGATGTGGGACAGAATTAGCCAGGGCACAGAGAGATGGCCACACGTGCTGTGCACATAGACTGCACATCACTACATTGGGAGAAAGTTAGCAATGATTCGACATAAAAATAAAGACTTTTAAGTTCTCAGAAAGATTTGGGGAGAGGTTGGCTTTGGGAACTGATGCTCAGAAAGCCAAGAAGGAGATAAAAGACAAGGAGATGAGCTAAAGGACAATCGATAGGTAATTAGATATTGACCCCAGTAGACCTGAAGAATTCTGGCTCTCTTGTGTCTGACATGTAGCTAATCTCTCAGCTTCTTGAAGTCAGGGTTCTTTCTTTGATAAAATGGAGACTGGGAACCAGCTCACAAAGGAACCTTGAGCTGCCCCACTTACATTATGAGCAAGGGCAGTGTAAGTGGAGGCAAACACTAGAGGGTGCCTGGGTGTGCAGTCAGGACTTAACACAGTGGTCACTCCTACTATGAAACCAGGCAGAGAAGGGCACGGAGCAAAGAAGGGAAGGAATGCAAAGATATTAAAAGCACAGTCACAAATAATCTCCACCAGAAACATTGATGGACAGAGCCAAAACGGCAAAACCTCCAGCTGGTAACACATGAAAGACTGAGGGAAAGGACAGAAACACAGGAGGGAGGGAGACAGACTCGGGGGCAAGGACAGAAATACAGGAGGGAGGGAGAGAGACTGGGGAAAGACAGAAAACCAAAAGGGGATAAGAAAAGAAGCTGGATTAGCAATCCAACCTATTAAAAGTTTGATTTTCCCCCTCCTCAATTCAAGCAGACCAAGTCAGCGAGCTAAATATGGGAAACTTTCCTGGGATGGAGAATCATCTGAAGGTGTGATCAAGGCAGGCACTGTATCTCAGGGAAAACTAATCTGAAAACATTTGGAGACTCATATCGAGACACAAGTAAGGAAAAATGTAAACTATGGAGATAACCTTTAAAGAGCCTCCAAAGAAGGCTCCAGGGACTGCCCATTGCTCCAGATCGTAGAAAAGATGGGAAACCATCCTCATTATTTTGTCATGTGATTCAACCAAGACAGCAAAGCCTGCCAGTGAAAAAGGAAACAACCGCACTCTCACTTGTGAACTGATGTGAAAATCCTAACTAAAACTCCACCGAATCAAATTTAGGAGCATTATTAAAACGTCTAGACATCATCAAGCTGCATTTAGCCCCCAAAGCAAAGATGACCTAGGATTAATACATCTGTTAAGACATCATCATATCAGGAAACAAGAGCCCTATTATAGGGTGATCACCATGTTTGCAGTGAAAAGCTTCAAATATTATTTTTGCTAAATTGAATAAAATGTTCAGATGTTTATAAAATGTTCAACTCTATTTTAAAATATACATATCTGAAATCATGACACAAAGGAGACATTGATATTTAAATATTTTTCATTCTCATATATCATACAAAAAAATGATTCCAGCTCTTCCCAGACATCTTTGATACCAATATTATTATTCCTATGAGAATCACTGAGATGTGTAACAGTTTCCAGAGTAAACATCTTCACTTCTGGGCACTCTTTAGCTCATAAGTAACATATTAATCCATATTCAGGAAATCACTCTCCAGAAACCGTGTAATCATAATCTCTGCAACAAGGCTTGAGTTTTTTTTTTAACTCATAGTCTCCAATTTTTGTGGTCATGAGGTCATTTCCAATGAATAATTGATAAATCGATGTTGAGCTTCCTGGTCTCCTTTTCCGAGTGTTTCTAGAGACTCCAAGGCCTTCAACACCAGATTGATCAAAAATGCTATAGAGGGATTTTTAAATGAAGTAAACTGAGGTTGACCCCCAGATTATAAAACACCCTGTAAAGGGATAGAGATAAGATGTCTTTCTTCCTTTCTTTTTTGTGAAAAAATATCTTATATTAAACCCTTATCAATATAGGAAACACTTAGAAAACTCTAGTATTTAGCTGGCACTAAAGCTCACACCAACCACCGACTCACTGTGCCCTTAGCAGCCTGTCACTGCAGCCCACCGTGGAGACAGTTCTGCTGTGTCAGAAGTTGGAAGAGAACACAAACATTATCAACTCACCAGGGATGGTGATGAATACATACAGTCCAGCACCGAAGAGGCTGAGGCAGGGAAACTGAGAACTCAGACCAGCTTGGCTGTATGGCAACAAGATCTTGTCTTAGATAAACAAGATTGCCATCGTTGAGGCCAGAAAATGCTACACAGCCTGAAACAGAAAGTCAGAACTGCCCAGATATGGCGGTGTAACCATGGGCTAAGTATTAACTTCTTGGGGTCTCGGTCTCACATCAGCAAGATGAGGGAACAGTCCTCAGGGAGTGAACTGCTGTGAGGGTTATTTGAACTAAACATGTGAGGCTCTTGAGATTGTATACAGTAAATGCGCAAACACACTAGAATTGACAACTATACTTAACTAAGCACAAAGCAAAACAACAGAACAACAGAAACAACTATGAGGCCAGCCAGATTAATTCTTTGCCATGTTGCCCACCCCCAGCCCCCACTTTCAGTATAGCTCACTGGACGACAAGCTCTGATCTCACACAGAGTTTCCAATCAAAGGTTTGGTATTAGCCAAGGTCAAAAGGATGTGAAGAATTAACTCACTTGAAAGCCTGACGAAAACAAAAATACAAACATACAAAATAAATCTTTTAAAATAGAGAATGGCGTGAATATGGTAAATGTAATGATGTATATACATACATGTATCATACATGTATCAAGCACACGCACACATATTAAAGAATAAGCTTCTACATCTATAAAGAAAAAAAAAACTTAAAGAAATGTAATTACCAGGAAATAAGAAAGAGTTCTTGGTAGTTTACAAAAAAAAATAGTGAATGAGATAAATTCAACACCAAGTTTAGAAAAGACCGGTAAGTAAATTTTCCAAACAGTAAAAGAAATGTAAAAAAAACGGAACAAGAAACTAAGAGCAGAAGACTGATCAAGTAAGGAAATATCGGGGTTCTGCAAAGCGGGGAGGAGGGGCAGGGTTGTCTAACAATCCCAAAGTCCACGATGAGAAAAGCGTCATCACGGGACGCTCTGTACGTCACACAGAACATGCCGCCTGCGTGTTCAGGGCAAGGAGCAAACAAAGATGTCTGCCCAAGTCCCACTGGAGGGAAGTTCAAGAAAACCACTTCTGGTGGACGACGGGAATCATGACCAGAGAGGTTTCCGCTCAGAAAGTCCCTGACTCCATGAAAGCGGTCTTCAGTCAGCTCAGGGGCTGATGTTGGACTCTCCTGTCACCCTTTTCTGTGCTTGGTGACTTTTATTGTCAGAAAACCAGTTTAATACAAAAAATCCTATGCTCTGAGACTCCAGTGTGGGGGTCCACAGACGTGATGTGAGCTGTTCCACCTGACTGGAGGTCAGAGAGGTTGAGCTTATTCTTGCTCATTCAAAGTTTTGACCACAGGTGTGGCTACAAACAAGCGATCCTGACCTAGAGTGTGGCTAGTTAGGATTTTGCATAGAGAAGTGGATCCGTTCCACCTGGACCAAAGGTGGAGGACACTTGGTCCACTCCTTAAGTCATGTTAATGAAGTCTGTTGCCTCCACCTCCCCTGGAGTGAAAATAAAAGTGGGTGGGTTCAGTATTCACCGAATTTCCCCCCCCCGATGCTGTTCTGTGTTTCTGTCTCTTTCATGTCTATATTCCTTTCACTTAATAATTCTAATCCTCGTGCTCCTACCGGGGAACATACGAATTTCATCGAGGCTGGACCCGGACACTCTGGACTAAGTTTAATTGGCTCCTTTTCTAGTCTGTCTTTACAGTGTCGCAGCCTGTATCTGCCCAGACACAGCCCTTCCGTTAGCAACAGTGGCAGTCACAGAAGATGACTGGCCTGGCGAGGCCCTCTGGGGACTTGCCATCCCGACGCCCTGTAGATGTGTGGTGCCTACTAATGCACCCAGTGAGTGCTGGTCTTTGAGCACACTCCTGGTGTATCCTCAAATATTAACAAAAGGAGACGAGGGTATGTAATTCTGCTTCCTTATTCACATTGCCACTGCGGTTCCGCTACCACAGTTAGCGCCTGTTTTCATAAGGAAATGCTAACTGCTCCGATCTGTTTTCATTCCGCCTACCGAATGCCACATCCTAGGCTTTGCCAGGAGATGGAGTGCCCTACTGGCAGACTGACCTGTGGAAAAGATGAATACCGTGTTGTTCCAGAGACCATGGTTTTTCAAGGCTGCGGTGACATTTCCCACTGCTTCGTCCATGAGGGACACCATCCCTGCATAAATACGTCTGTGCTTATCTTGGATAAAGTCGTACGGCTTCATGTATTCCTCAGGGACCTGAAGGGGATCGTGGACAGACTGGAGAGCAAGGTAGAGGAACAGCGGCTGGAAAGAGAGTTTGGAGACAGCGGTTAAAAGCGAAAGGAGGCTTTCGATACAAAACATGAGACAGTTAAGATTTATCGGTTCGTATCAGTAATTTCCAGAACCTACAGAGGGCTCCAAAAGTATCTGTGAACCATATCTGTGGTAAAGAACCCACATCCAGAATACATAAAGTCAACAATAAAAAGCAACTTAGTTCAGCACAGAGAATTTAAATAGGTATTTTTCCAAATATGTAACCAATGTTCATAACCAGGGGACTGCAAAACAAAAACTGCACTGAGACATTAAATTTCATGTCCATTAGGATGCTTAGAGCATTTAAAATAGTAAGCACTGATGTTGGCGAGGCTATGGAGAAATCAGAATCCTCAGCTGCTCTTGTAGGAATGTAAGTGATGGATGCAGACACCGAAAAGCAGTGTGAAGGGTTTAGTGTTACAGCTACTTACAACCTGGCCTTCCTATTGCAGAAAACCATGAAAACACATGTCCATGTAAAATGTACATGGATGCTCCCTGCACCGTTATTCGTAGTGGACAAGAAGCAGGAAAACACAAATGTCTGCAAATCGATGAATGAATAAATAAATTCAGGATAGTTTAGGTATGGTGCATACCAACAATACAATCAGTGACAAGACAGTCGGGCTTTGAAAATATGAAAAGAGCCAATCAGGGACCATATCTTGCATTGCTAAATTGACCTGAATATTCTGAAGAAGTAAATCTACGGAGACAGAAACTAGGTGAGTGGCTGTCTGAGGCTACAGGGAATTCTGGGACTGGATGATGATGAGGCTCTACTAGCAGGCAGAAAATACCCTCCAGTGATAAAATATTTTAAAAGTCGACTGTGATGATGATCAAACACCTCTGAAGTTTCCTAGTTAACTGTGTACTTTAAGTGGGTGAATTTTACACAATGCCAATTACGCCTCGGCAAATATGTTCAAAGATGACAAAGGACCCAAAACATAACATGAGAAAAGACACTAGACTGACCAAGTCCAGGCACCAGCCAAGGTGTAGATGGGGACAGAACTAAAATTCACAAGGCACCTGCCCAGTGGTGAGAGTGGGGTGTTGAAATCTCCCACTATTAGTATGTGGGGTTTAATGTGTGATTTAAGCTTTAGTAGTGTTTATTTTATATATGAGGGTGCCCTTGTATTTGGGCATAGATGTTCAGTATTGAGATTTCCTCTTGATAGATTTTTCCTGTGAAGAATATGATATGTCTTTCTTTGTCTTTTTTGATTGATTTTGTTTGAAGTCTATTTTGTTAGATATTAGGAAAGCTACACCTGCCTATTGCTTAGGTCCATTTGATTGGGAATTTTTTTCCCAACCCTTTACTCTGAGGCGATGTCTTTTTCTGAGGTCGAGGTGTGTTTCTTTTCTTTTTTTTTTTATTGAGAAAAGGAAAAAAAAAGTTTCCGCCTCCTCCCAGCCTCCCATTTCCCTCCCCCTCCTCCCATCCTTGTCCCCCTCCCCCCACTCCTCTCCCCCTCCCTCTCCAATCCAAAGAGCAGTCAGGGTTCCCTGCCCTGTGGAAAGTCCAAGGTCCTCCCCCTCCGTCCATGTCTAGGAAGGTGAACATCCAAACTGGCTAGGCTCCCACCAAGCCGGAACATGAAGTAGGATCAAAACCAATACTGACGAATATCTTCCATATCACCATAGAACCTTCATCTGGTGATGGATGGAGATAGAGACAGAGACCCACACTGGAGCACTGGACTGAGCTCCCAAGGTCCCAATGAGGAGCAGATGGAGGGAAAACACGAGCAAGGATGTCAGGACCAGGAGGTATGTTTCTTGTATGCAGCAAGAAGATGGATTCTGTTTTTGTATTCAGTCTATTAGCCTGTGTCTTTTTAGAGGTGAGTTGAGTACATTTATATTAAAGTATATTAATGAGCAGTGATTGCCAGCTCCTGTTATTTTAGTTTTTGTTGTTGGTGATGTTATTATGTATAAGTTTTCCCCTTTTTTGGGATTTGATACTGTGAGATCATCTATTGTCTGTATTTTTGTGGATGTAGTTAAATTCCTTGAGTTGGAGTTTTCCTTCTAGTACTTTGTGTAAGACTAGGTTTGTGGCTAGATACTTGTTAAATCTGGTTCTGTAATGTAATATCTTGTTTTGTCCATCTAACTGAAATATTTGTCCATGTAACTGAAATATTTGCTGAGTCTAGTAGTCTGGGCTGGCATCCTAGTCTCTTAATGTCTGCATAACACTTGACCACCACCTTCTGGCTTTCATTGTTTCCATTGAGAAGTCAGGTGTAATTCTGGTAGGTCTGCCTTTATATGTTACTTGGCATTTTTCCTTTGCAGTTCTTAATATTCTTTCTTTATTCTGTAGGTGTAGTGTTTTGATTATTATGTGGCAAAGGAACTTTTTTTTTGGCCCAGTCTATTTGGTGTTCTGTAAGCTTCTTTTATCTTTATGTGCATTTCTTTCTTTTAGTTGGGAAAGTTTTCTCCTATGGTTTTGCTAAATATATTTTCTGTGCTTGTGAGTTGAACTTCTTCTCCTTCTTCTATCCCTATTATTCTTAGGTTTGATCTTTTCATGGTGTCCCATATTTCCTAAATATTTTGTGTTAAGCTTTTGTTAGATAATGTTTTCTTTGACCGATGAGTCTATTTCTTCTATTATATCTTCAGGGCTTGAGATTCTCTCTTCCATCTCTTCTATTTGGATGTTTTTGCTTGCATTTCTGGTTACTGATAATTTTCTCATAATTTCTGTTTTATATCTCCCTCAGTCTGTGTTTTCTTTATTGTCTCTATTTTGGTTTCCAAGTCTTGGATAGTTTCTTTCATCTGTTTGAATGTTTTTTCTTGGTTTTCTTTAAGGGATTTGATGATGTCTTCCAATTTTTTGTTTGTCTTTTTCTCCATTTCTTTGAGGGAATTTTTCATTTCCTCTTTAAGGGCCTCAAACATTCTCCTAAAGTTATTTTTAGGTCATTTTCTTCTGCTTCATTTATATTTGGGTATTCATGTCTTGCTGTTTCAGGGCCACTAGTTTTTGCTGGTGTCGTGTTGCTTTTTGTGCTGTTGAGTGTGTTACCTTGTCTACCCATCTTTTCTTCTGATTGGTGTAGTTGGGGTTGTGACTGGTGATCAATCCTCCAGGTGCCAGTGGATCCAAGGCTCAGATGGTTGTTCCTAGTGGTGCAGTCAGGGCCGTGGTTTCAGTCACCCCGGAGGTCACTTGGTGTTCCCAGAGGTCATTCAGTGCTCCCAGGGGTTGTTGGGTTGTTTGGTCCTGCTCCCACAGGGGTTGCTTGCTTGGGTCTGCTCCCACTGAGGTTCCTGCCTTGGGCCTGCTCTAGTGGAGGTCGCTGGCTTGGACCTGCTTCTTTAGAGGTTGCTGATTCACGTCCAGTCCCGCAGAGGTCTCTGGCTCGGGCCTGCTCCCTCTGCGATCACTCCCTTGTACCTACTGCTGTGGCTCTCCCACCTTCTTTTCTTAAAGTAACTTTTAATGTAGACTGTCTCATGTCAGTTTGATTCTTGGAAGCAGTCAGAACCCCAAGAGGACAGAAGTGAGTCTGTCCGCTCCTAGCCAGACCACTTGCAGCAAAATAACAACCTATTTGGTGAAGGGGATGAAGGGGAGAGCAGCCTATCCCCATAGCAACTAACCCTGAAGACAAACGCAGCAGAGCATGGAAAGCTCTTGTCGTTTTGCCAGAGAAAAAATGTGGCCTGGGGAGATGGCTCAGTGGCTAAGGGTGCTTTCTGCTGTTCCAGAAGACAGAGTTCTGAGCTGGGTCCTTAGCACCCACATAGGCCAGCTCACAGCTTACTGTTACTCCAGCTCCGGGGAATCCAATGCCCTCTTCTGACCTCTGCAGGTACCTGTACACATGTACACCCCCCCCACACACACACATACACACACAGACATAGAAAAAAAAATCTTAAAAAGAGAACACGATTCTGAAATCAATATTAAAGGGATTCACAAATTCTCAGTGTGGAACAAATTGTACTTCTTTTTGTTAAATATTGGAAAAAAAATGAGCATCGTTCTATAAATATTCCATAGTGGCTAATGATATGACCATCCCTCTTAAAGGGATACAAATATAAAACCACAAAGACCATATTGTTAGCAATCTGACTTACACTCACTTAAACCTTAGGGATGGAGCTAAAGCTAGCCTGTCAGGTGACTGTCACATGCAAAAGCCTCACACCGCTTGCTGACCAGACCAGAACTTCATAACATACAAGAATAAATACGTGCATTTTTTTTAACAACAAAAATGTTGTCTTTTCTTACATTTCATCAGGAGCAGTCAAGGGCAGTTTGCTGTGGGGTAAAGAGCCCCCCACCATTGCACAGCTCTGGGTCACCGGGAGGACACAGTGATGTGCAATGCTGTCCATTTCATGAGGTTGGGACCAATGAAACATTTTATCTGCTTCCCTACTCCCCCAGGCCCCATGTCTGTCTGTCCTTCCCCCACCACCCATTTTGCTTTATTTTAAGACAGCATCTCTCTATGTAGCCCAGCTTGACCTGGAACTTGCTATGTAGAGCAGGATAGCCTCAAACTCACAGAAATTCACCTGTCTCTACCTCCCCATTGCTTGGATTAAAGGTGTACGCTACCACACCCAGTCATTTTATACACATGTATAACACTATAAATCAAACTTTCAGCTCTCAGGAGTACTTTATTTATGAACGACCAATTCTCAAACATTACTAAACAGAAGTATCAGTACATTATTTTTAAAGATTCTTTAAAAAAAATTCATGTATTTTGCCTGCATGTATGTCTGTGCACCATGTGCATGCAGTACCCACAGAGGCCAGTAGAAGGTGTCAGTTCCCCTAGAACTGGAGTTAGAAATGGTTGTGAGTACAGCATGGGTGTTGGGAACTGAACCCAGGTCCTCTGCAAGAGCAGCCAGTGTTCATAACCACACAGCCATCTCTCCAGTTCCTCTGTATTGTTTTTAAATTTCAGGGGGGAAATGGTAGTTTTTAAACTACATGGTTGCCTAATGGAAGGAGCAATTATCTAAGGCCGACTCCAACCACCATCAGGACCCTGCCTGCAGCCACTATGGAGTCCTCCAATGGAAAGCTGTACCCAGTTTCTCCACACCTGCCAGCTGTAACCTCTGCTCACTGCTCAGAGCAAACAGCCAGCATCTGAGGATGGGTTCCTTACAGGTCTGCGGACCTGAGGCCTAGCCCGCTCTGGCCTTGGCTTTGGAGAGGGGCCATTCTCACCTCACTGACTCTGGATTCACACTAATGCCCTGCCCAACGTCAGCCTCCACCCATCCCTGTTTATGTTGGAGCCCAACATGTCCTTGGTATTCTCTCAACTCCAGACTTGTATTCTGATCAACTTAGCCAGTCCTAACTGTGACCCTTTCAAGTATCCTAAGACTATAAAATGAAGTCCCTGTTGGGAAATCATGACTAGACATTTGAGTATCACAGAAAACCCAGACCTAGCCAGCAGAGCTGTTCGATGCTAATGGCTCTTTCCCCTTTCTATTATGCTCCATGTCTCCTCAGTTCTATACTCCGAACATCCCCACAATGGAGAGAAATCACACATCACTGAGGAGCAAAGTCTTATTTTTATTTCTTTATAGGTTTTCCTAATTCAAAGTATGAATGGAAAAATGTATTACTTTTTTTTTTAAATAAATGTTACTACTGTGAGCGTCCCCTGACACCAAGGAGAAAGAACATCCCTTCCTGACGCTTTACAGCCATGAGAAATGTCCCCACTCAATAGCGACACAACAGCTCTATCGATTTTCTCCCTCAGCTGCCCCTTAAAAGCAGGGACATTTTTAGTTGACTTGTGGACACTTCACGGGAATTCCTTTAATGACTCCCATCTTAGAACAGATGCCATGCTATAGTCTATAAATGTCGCCTGGCAGCCTAGCACAGAACCAGGTTAAACCCTGTAAGAGATCTTACAAAGGTGCCGCTCCCAGAGCCAGTGATAGGCACCGGTCTTGGGAACTGAAGCTGGCAGATGTGCAAATGGTTGAGCTGCCACTGACTACCATTTCCTTGCCTGTACCTGTGCTTGGGGACACTGGGCACCTCAGACACTGGCGGGGAGCGTCCATCTCCCATCTGCTCATTTCGTAACGCGATCTGTGGGCGGTGCCACGCTGACAACACCCTCCCATAGCCTGGGCGCGCCTGAGGCCTGTTAGTGTCCCCAGATCCAGCGCTTTCCCAGCCTGCCCAGTTTAGCCGCCCACCCACAAAGAACGGCTTCTGCACAGCTGCTTCCTCTTAGCTGCTCGATGTCACGAGGGCACCGGGAGACAATACTGTTTGGTACACATTTCTAAACATTTGAGAGAACGTTTCCCTTTCTTCACAGACACAGTTGACTAGAGATGTCAGCATGAAGCTCTTAAAAACCCAAAGTGAGGCAAGGCTGAGACGGTCACCAGGGAAGATTCCCTCATCCTGAGTAAGAGGAGCCAAGACAGAGGCTGGAAGCTTCTATAGCAGACAGGGAGTCGTGAGGCGGTCACTAAGGCTGAACAGGTGTGCAAGCCAGAACCTTGGCCAAGACCTGTGCTGAGTGCCTCCAGGCAATGACTTTTTTTTTTTAAATATTTATTAATTTATTTATTATGTATACAATATCCTGTCTGTATGCCTGAAGGCCAGAAGAGGGCGCCAGACCTCTTTACAGATGATTGTGAGCCACCAAGTGGTTGCTGGGAATTGAACTCAGGACCTTCGGAAGAGCAGGCAATGCTCTAAACCACTGAGCCATCTCTCCAGCCCCAGGCAATGACTTTTTATTGTAGGCAGAGTATCCCTGTGGCTTAGAGTATCACGAGGTCAGACTGTGAACCTGGGCTAGGTGGTTGAGAGTGCCCTGAATAACACGTCATAGAATCCTAACTACACAGGCTACTCACAGTGACAGCATGGGACAACCTCTGAGGCGAGGTGACAGAATACTGGCGACTCAGTCCTGCCGCGGACCGGTCCCTCACAACGTCTGACATCATCATTTCTTACAAGTGTCCCGGGAGAGTCTAATACAGTGTCGAAACTGGGACTGCAGAGCTGAATATGAACTGGGTTTCAAAATCACTGCCCTCGGATACTAGCTGGGAGCTAGGGATGCTGATTAGGAAGAGAGCTCACGTTCTGACGCTGCCTTCCAATGGCCCTGGGACCTTGAACAAGTCTCTTCATTTCTCCAAGTCTCTTTGCTTAAATAAAAGTGGTGTGCCTTCCTCAAAGGATAACAGAACATTTACTTAAAACCTGACTTTGACTTTTTTGGTATGAGGAGATGCTTATAAAATGCCACGCACACACACAGTTAAGAACTACAGTACTGGCAGCGAGGAGGGCCATGCTAGCGAGACCTCTTCCATGGAACAGAGGCTCTTAGGGGCTCCTGTTGTCCTCAGTTTCATGCCCACCCACCCTCCCGGCTTGAATACCCACCACAGAGAACCCTTTCACCCAGCTGCTGCTTTCCGTCCACTTACTGATCCATGAAGTCAGTTATGGAGCTCACCAACTGTCTTTGTTTAAACCTAGACTGAAAGTGTGCCTGTTTCTAAACGTTCGAGAGAACGTTCCTCTTTCTTCATGTTGCGTGGAAGACACAGTTGCCTGGAGATGTCAGCATGCCACTCTTAAAAAGCCAGAGTGAAGCAAAGATGAAAATGGTCACCAGGGAAGATCCCTCATACTGAGTAAGAGGAGCAAGACAGAGCCTAGAAGATTCCATACCAAACAGGGAGTCACTGGTAGGTCACTAAGTCTGAACAGGTAGGCAGATCGGGACCTTCACATCGCCAGAGACGAAGAGCAGAGGCAGGACCTGCGCACTTTCTGGGCTCCTCCGTGTCGGGCAGGCTCCCACCGCAGGACACTCTGTGTGAGTGTGTGACTACATTCATGAGGACACTCTTTAAGCCCAGTGTCTGACAACATAATTTCCAAAGCCCTTGGATTCTAAATCCAGGCAATCTGGGTCTAAGGCTAGTCACAGCTCTTTTTAACCTGCAGCTGTCTGAGCATGACATGCCCAATGGCTTCCTTAGTTACCTGTGAAAACCAATCTAACACACATTTGAATTTTTAAAGCTCGGTGTTGCTAAGATGGCCATTTCCTTTAAGTTAACCAATGAACACCAAATAAAGCAACTGCCTTTTGTTTTCTTGGTAAAAGTCGGTCAACAGATTCTAAAATTAACATGGGCATAGAAATGATTCAGAGTAACCAAAATAATCCTGAAAAGTATAAGATGGGAGAGTTTGCTCTGAGCCCTGAACTCCTAACAGTTCTCCATAGGGGCTCCACCTTGTATGCAGACACCTGTTTGGGAACCAGAAGCCCTGCTTCCTAGTCATTTACAGTGCTTGCACATAGAGCATCATAAGAGCAAGCAATGTTGGGCAATGATGGCGCACGCCTTATTCCTAGCACTCTGGAGGCAGAGGCAAGTGGATCTCTGTGAGTTCAAGGCCAGCCTGGTCTACAGAGTGAATTCTAGGACAGCTAGGCTCTGCAGAGAAACCCTGTCTTGAAAAAACAAAACAAAACAAAACAAAACAAAGAGAAAGCAGGGTTTCCATGAAATCCTGAAAGTCAACATCCCTACACCTGCAGTCCAGGGTCCTCTCCCATGAGAATCGTCTCTTAGGGGTTCCTATATGCTGCATGACTTTCTCCCACACTGATCCACAAATCTTTAAGATTCTTCACTTTTAATCACCTTCCCTTTCTGGCTAACTGGAATGTGGTCTAATTTTTTTTTTTTTAAAAAAAAAAAACCTTTAGAAGTAAGAAAATTTTGAGAATAATTAAGAAGAAGCCTTACCTTCTCTGGTGGGTGGTTAGCTATGAGGGTTGTAGCCCTTTTGCTAAATATGTTTGTTGAATAAATATTTGTATACTCTGTCGCAGGTTCTTCACCGTCTCGGAAATCAAGAGCACACCGCGTAACATTCAAAGGCTCAATTAGTGCGCAGACCTCGTGGGTGTAATAGTTTTCACTGCCGAGGAGATAGCCTACAAGAAGAATGGGAGACGAAACAGTCAGCAGGCAAAAAGCTTGTTAAGCAAACGAAAGTTCCAGCATTTAATTGCCTAATGCAACTGATTGCCCGTGACGAGGCTAATCAAATGACAAGGCTAATCAGAGCTCCATTTCTTAACATCTCTATATCTGTTGGCAGACCCCGTTGAAATGTGACTGCACAGAAGCCCAAGTCCCCTTCTCACTCGGGTCTTTCAGGACATCGGTTCCATCACGTCAGCTCTGTAGGTGGATGGTTCTGTGGAAACAGGTTCTTAGGAATCAGAGTTCAGGTTCAGTAGGCAATAAGATGGTAGTCCTTTAAGGCTAAGAGGAAAGATCATACGCTGGTAATGCGTTTTGATGCAAGGTTTATTTGTAAGATAATAAAAACGGGATTCAGCTCACGCCATTTGCTGTACTGCTGTTGGGAGACTGACGCCCGAGGTTATTTATGAACGAGGCCTCAGCGAGAGTTATTTTTAGTCAAATGCTGACACCCACTGGTGGGAAGATACAAACCTTCCCAAATATGAGCTCTCTCTGCTCACGTACCAGCTCCAGGTCAGAGGAGAGTGTTCTAGCTAGACTGTTCCACACACAGCAAGTTTGGAGTCACGCTGCTGCTCACTGAGCTGAGTGGCTGTCACCTTCACCTTCTGTAAAGAGCCCTCTCCCTCAGCAGGGACCGAAGCCAGGAGAAAAGGAAGTTTCCCAATAGCTGTTCTGTGAATGTTACCTGTTTTGTTAAGTATAAAAGCAAGCTGTGCTGTATATTAGGATTCCATCCACAGACTTGCTCAGAAGTCAGTCAGCACAAAAGAGAGGCAGTGCTGGCCCAGGGCTGGGGTCCGAGGGGAAGCTGGGGTGACTGCTTTGGAAATTTGGTTTCTTTTGTGAGTGATTAAAGATTGTCCTGTGTCTGGGTTGTGATGATATCGACACAATCCCTCAACTTGCATAAAAATTACTAAATTAAATACCTTGATTGGGTGAGCTGCATAGTATATGAATTATGCCCCAATGAAGCTATTAAAAAGAAATAAACTTTCCTAGGCTCTTAAATATATTTCCTTTTATTCTTAAAGTGATGAAAAATGGACCTAGCTCTTTCCCTTCTCATGGAATTTCTCTATAATGATAATTTAGAGCCTTCTACGGCTTATATAACAATTCAATTTATAATTAACTTATATAATAATTCACTTTAGATTAACCATTTTCCATGATCCAAGGTCAAGGTCCTAAACCTAATTAGTATAAGGATCTTAAGACAACTTTTTATATGATTTTCACTTTTTTCATTTATAGCAAAAATATATAACATATTTATTACTTAATGTGAAACAGAAAAATACACATTCACAAAATATAATTTCAGGGTCTGCTGCGATGGCTCAGTGGGGAAAGGTGCCTGCTACGTTTCAAACCTGACAACCTGAGTTAGATTCCTGAGATCCCTACGGTGGAAGGAGAAAAACTGATTCCTGCAAGCTGTTCTCAGACCGCCACATGTGTGCTGGCGTGCATGCGTGCACACACATACACATGAATGAATGAATGAATGAATGAGTAAGTAAATAAATAAAATGAAGAATAAGAATCTCAACCCTTACCTCGGCAATCAGAGTGATCGGGACCTAGTTTATGTTTTAACATCGATGAGGTATTAGAGTTTGGAGAGAAAAGTTCAGGTTCTCTATCCATTCATATAAACTATCACTGGGGAGGACATGTGCACAGGCTATATTTGGTTATAGGAGCCACAAACATTGACAGGAGAGTTGCAGAAACAGAACCACATCCTCAAACACTTGGCCAAGCTGACCCCGCACAGCCAGTGACAGTCACACAATGCTGTCATCATTGCAGTCCACAAACCTGAGGGCTGAACCTCAGGACGACGGCCGTCTAGGCTTTTGTGAGGAACTTTAGAAAATACTTTTGAACAACTAAATCTGTGTCCTTCAATGGTTTTATTGAGATGCAGTTCAAGTCGACACGGTTACCCGTCAAGTGTGTACTTCCTTAGCTTCGAAGGCATTCATAACCACCTACCCGCTTCCAGCACGACGGCTAAACTACAGTGCTAATGACAGCCATGCGCTCCAAATACTCTTGGTGGCTGCAAGTCTCTCTTCATGTAAATGTGGGTATTGGTCTACCTAGCTCCGGGGTAGAACTTAATTCTCCTAAAGCCTATGATTCTGTCTTCTATGTGAAGGTTTCCGTTTGTGTCTATGTGTGAGTGTGTGCGCAGGCTAAAATGCAATACTTACCACTGCCAGGAGCTAGCCCCCTTTGTTGTTTAAGACAGGTTCTTTTATTGGCTTGACAATTAGGCTAGGCCCCTTGGCCAGTGTGCCCCAGGGATTCACCCACCTTCACAGCCCATGTGCCAAGACTAGAACCCGCAAGGCACCCAGTTTGTTTGTTTGTTTGTTTCACTTGGGCCTAGGGACTGAACTCAGGTTCATGGGTGCACTATAGAGACCGAACTCTCTCCCTAGCTGTCCAACCAAAACTTGGATTTTTCATAAAGATTTTTAAGATCCACAGTCTGTCTAAGGACAGACACGAAACATCTAGCAAAGTCCTGGGTGGAAACAAAAGTCCCCACGGTGCACAAGCCATTCCTCTGGAACATCCAGGATGATAAATCAATGAAGTCTGAGTTTAACAGTCATTCAAGGGCACTGAAGACTCAGCCAGAAAGAATGTCATGGCTGGCTAGCGGTGCTGCAGCACCCCAGGCAGGAGAGGGACACACCTGCTCTCCTTTCTGACATGCTGGTGTCTTGACCTCAGGGTTAGATCCAAGCGCTTGGTGCGTCTGAGCGTATGTGGACCCGCTCCCTTTCACTGGGCTCTGCTTTGTCCTTACCTCACATGGAAGCAAGGAATGACCAAGGAGCTACAAGGAAGCCAGCACTCTGTGACTAGAGTGGCTCTCCACTCTGCCTCCTTCCCCAGAAGCTTTTCTCACAGCTAAGGGTCGGGAGCAGCTTCACTACCTCAACGCCTACTGTCCACTTAGCTTGGAATAATGTCCCTCTACCCCTCCTCTCTCCTCCCTACAGACATAAGAAGTCTCCAGTCTTAGGCTAGAATGTGGAGTGCTCCTGCAGCCACGCAGCTTTGTACTTCTTACTTATTTATTTATTTTGTAATTTGGTGCGTTGACATTACTCCATGTCTGACTAGTCACTCCGAGTTTGTTAGTCTACTAAAAATGTTTATGCTAACTAACCATCCAGTTTGGAAGAAGCAGGTGGGAGGGAGGGAGGGAGGGAGGTTACTGTACAAACAACAGAAAGACAGCTCCATATAAAAAGAACTTGACAGAAAGACACACAGTGAGCGGCAAACAGGTTAGTAATTACTGCAGAGTTTAAAACAGACGTGCGGTGTCACACTTTAAAACAAACAGCAGGCTTCACGTTTCTTTCCGAGAGCTCTCCTGTTTCTAGTTATCACTTCATTACCTGCCACTTCTGTTTATTATCTTTTATTGCTATTAATGCTTTAAATTGATTTTCTCCAATCTAGTAATTTCAGAAACAGATCACACAGGAGGAGAAGATGCCATCATTCTCCCCCCAACCCCCAAAAAGAGGGGCCTTTGAACCCAGGCCACGGGGAGAAAAGCGTGTAAACTTTAGTGAAGGAAGCACAAAGTCTGCCTCTAGTTCCACAGAGCCCCTCCTCCTCATCTTCAAGATGACCCTACAGAGTGGACAGTGGTCTCTGAGTGGTCCCATAAGGCTGTCCCTTAGGGCTCTGGCAAAGGTCCACCCAGCGTTAAGCACGGCTTATGGAGGGACCATAAGAAAGCAGCCCCCCTATGGTGCTTCAAGTTTCCAGTCATTGTGTTTGATGACACTTGGGTGTGTTTTATGAGCGGGATGTAGTAGGTCTGTGTTGTTAAAGAAACATGAATTTCCATTACCGAAGTAGGTATCGAATCCTCGGCGTGTTGGCAGACATTCTTTCTGACGCATTCCCAGGTGCCATTTTCCAACCATATGCGTAGCATAGCCTGCTTCCTTTAGGAGCTGGGGCAGGAGTTTTTCATCCAGGGGAACACAGCTGGGCTGACAGGTCATGATGAGGTAATGCTGTAAGCCCATGTGGATCTTAAAGAGACAGACACAGAAGCAGGGATTAATGCCCTGGAAACACTGTGAAGGAGTGAATACAGCAGCCACCTAAGTCACGGGAGCCGGATGTCCAGGTTTATTCTGAAAGGCGGTTTCCCCAGTGGTGCAATAGGTAGTGGACAGAAATAGGAATTGGATGTATGAATAAAAAGCATTATAACAAACCAATGTTTTCAACAAACATTGATCAAGGCAGTATGTCAGGAACCAGTAATTTAGTCTCTCAAGAAAAAGGATTCGAATCAAACTGCAGGTGAGAAGTTAAAATCTGATTAGAAGGATTTTGATTCTTCGAGGACTTGATGATTTTTTTAAAGACTTATTTAACAGTACGATGAAACTAATGGTTCATGATTCTTATTAGACTTTACATAAACCATAATCCGGAAAGACACTGATCTTTTCAAGAAAGCATCCCACTGACTGCTGCTTTGGAATGGCTTACGAAAGAATTCCCAGGGCACAGGGTCCACGCAGCATACTGTATTAAGAGACAAAGACTTGTTTAGTTTTAGAACAGTAAAAATGTAATTTCTATAATTTCAGAAGTTCCTTGGATTTTAATGGGAATACAATCCTAATAAATCCTTCACAAATTGAAATGATCATAAATTGCAAGATGCATTTAATAAAGCTAACCTGGAGGATACTGCAACCTAGACTAGCCCACCTTACATATCCTCAGCACAAAGCCTGCTTAACAGCAGCGTGCGTGTTCTTGGGATTTAATGAACGCCATACCAGAAGCAAACAGTATTGACTATGTGGACTTGACTTCTGAACTGTTATAAAGGTGAAAAGTATTGAGCTGAACCATGATAAACTGGATGCTGTCTATAAATGAAACTCTCTCTCCCTTTTCCAAAAGAAGGGGAACTACAAGCCTTTATGAGGCCAGACTTTCTTCATCAACTTTTACCTATGTAACATATTTAGGTCATATAGATCAGATGGCAGAAACTGTTCGACAACCTAGCTATCTTTTATGAACAGAGGCAATTAAAAAAATCAAACAATGCTAAGCTTCATGGCTGTTGTAGAAGGCATGCTTTTTCTCACTCTTTGTTTTTGGTAACATATAATGGGCCCATTATTGCCATTTTCATGAATAAATGCATTCTCATTTCTGCTAGAGTAAATTGCAAATGGTGTAATTTGTGTGTTTATTCTTTTAGTCCTCAATAATTTTTTAAGCAAAAGCAGATATCCTAAGACCAAAAAGTTTGACGATAGACTCTACTGTATGATAAGGACCATTGTTCTGAAGAAACATAGGAGAGATGGTGACAGGTGACATGGCATAGGTGGCCAAAGAACACGTCTCTGAATCTCTGAAGATATGTGTGAGAAGTCAGCTGCACACAAAGAGTACTAACACCATCCCTGTCCTGGATTGTGAGAGCACTCTCGACTTGCCCGTGGCATTTGAAAGCCAACGAACAGAAGCCTAGGGACCTGGGCCGAGCTCTTGTGCTGTCAGATGCTACCATACCCGAGGATGGATGAAGGACTGCTCCGCCGGCCCTGGCTTTCCCTAGCACTAGATCCTGTGTTTCCTCAAAGCAGTGGCCCTCAACCTTCCCAATGCTGCAACCCTTTAACACAGTTCCGCATGCTGTGGTGATTCCACAACCGGAAAATTATCTCAATTGCTACCTCATAACAATAATTTTGCTACTGGTATGAATTATAATGTAAGTATCTAGTGTGTAGAATATCTGAAAGGCAACCCCAGAGGGGTCTCGACCCACAGGGTGAGAGCCAACGCCTTAGATACACAGGGCTCTGAGGGCCGGGCGGTGGTGGCACACGCCTTTAATCCCAGCACTCGGGAGGCAGAGACAGGTGGATCACTGTGAGTTCGAGACCAGCCTGGTCTACAAGAGCTAGTTCCAGGACAGGCTCCAAAACCACAGAGAAACCCTGTCTTGAAAAACCAAAAAAAAAAAAAAAAACAGGGCTCTGAGGAGAGTGATGGCTATGGGTGTCAGCTCACCACCCAGGGAGGACTTCAGCACCCTGGTCCACTAAAGGTGGGTATCAAGCAACTTGCTGCTAATAATTCCTTAAATGTGTTTGCGCGTGATCGACATGCTACATAATACAATGCAGAATAGGACAGAGCAGGAACCCAACTCCATTTACAAACTTTGTGACCTTCAGACAGTAAGATAGTGGCTTCTGTGACTTCCTTCAGTCTCGACATTTGTAAGGTTATCGTCATCTGCATAGGAGGGAGCATAACAGTATCTATTTCCTGTGGTTTGGGCAAGATTAATGAAGGGACACATAATGCCAAGTGCATATTAAATATCCAGCAATGGTGATGGTAACAGGTCTGAGCAGTTATCAATAACACCATTCCCCTCCTGTCCTAGTATGCTCCTCTGCTGGTGAGCTAAAACGCTGACCAGCCCACCCAGCACGAGAAAAGCATTTATTATGCCCACAGATTGATTGCAGCCCATCACAGAGTGATGCCAAGAACTTGGAGGCAGGAGCTGAAGTGGAGACCACAGAGGAACCCTACTGACTGGATGTTTCTCAGGCGTCCTCAGCAGCCTTTCTTAGAGAGGAGGGGCCCACCTGCCTAATGATGACATTGCCCACGGTAAGATGGCCCATGCGACATCAATTAGCAACCAAGAAAATACCCTCAGAGACATGCCCCAGGTCAAGCCGATGGATGCAATTAGTCAATAGGGGTTTTCTCTTCACCAGTATTATCAAGCTGGCCACCAAGTTTAACCATCACACCTCCCTACGCGCTGCTTCCTTGAGGACCAAGGCTTTACGGGACTCTTTCGGCTACTCTTGAGCTGATTTCCTGGATTGTGTTTTGCAGATGACTATCATATACAGTGCACACTGGAACTTAACACTCGCAGTTCCACTCCCACTGGAACTAAATAAATATACAGTTAGCACTGACTTTCTCAAGCCTTCAATTGCTAACTACTCAGACCACATAGATCCATAGACTTACATTTGGATCAGTGTTATTTTCACTATTTTTAAATTATATCTACATGCGGAGGGAGGTGCCTGGGAACATGAGTGCAGTGATTACAGAGGCCAGAAGACAGTGTTGCAGTCCCTGGAGCTGGAGCTACCGGCAGCAGGGAGCGGCCAGCTCTGGGCACTGGGATCTGAACTCAGCTTCTCTGAAAGAGCAGCAAACAGTCTTAGTTGTTAAAGCCATTTGTTTTCAAGGTTTTGTTTTTAAATATTTGGCAATAAACAAATGCAAAATTTAGACAAAAATATTCAAACTTAAAGTTTCATTTTCTTTTTTACTATGAACTCGGATGAAAGAGTTTTCTCCCAAGTTCTGAGAGAATGTGCGAAGCTGGGATTGAACACGAAGCCTTGTTCATGCTCTTCCACTGAGCTCGGCCCTCTTAATGTTTTAAGACAGAGTTTCACTAAATTGCTCGGGAAACTCACTCCATATCCCAGGCTGGCCTTGAGTGTGTGACCTTCTTGCCTCAGCCTCCTGAATAACTAGGGTTACAGGGCTGTTCCACCAAGTGTATCATTTTTGCTATTTTGTGTGGAAATCACTAGTTTGCAGGCTGAGGAGGAACCACGATTCCTTGCATGCTGGGCAAATGCTCTGCCACTGAGCTATATCCTCACACGTCTCATGAACTTTGGATTTTTTGTGTATTTTGTCAGAGCCAACACTTTTGAAATTGTGGCTATTATGGCTTGAGTCCATGATATCTTTCCATAATTTCATTTGAGAGCCACATGGACTATCTTAAATGTTAAAGTATGATAAACTCACTATCATGGTTTCACAGGTGGGTATATATATCAAAATATATCAAGTTGTATGTTTAAAGTATGTACAGCTTATTGCATGTTAATCATATGTCAATAAATATTTTTATTTTAAAAATGGAAGTACATTTTTCTGTGGATTCTTAGGCCTCTGTCAGCAATAACTGGACACAGACAATGAGAATGTTCAGAGGCCTTTCAGGTGCCTTCTAACCAGGTGGTGTTCAGTCTCCAAACTGAAGCCAAAACAAAGGACTTGTTGCCCTTCCAAATCTGGCTTCTGATAGAGGTCAGTCAGTGGGGAATCACTAATCCAAGAGAAGGGGGCAGGAGAGAGTGGGCAGCCTTGGGTCAGGTGCCTGGCCACCGCACCTCTGCACTGAAGGTCACTCTGAAGGCAACTTCCCCATATGCCTCCCCTTCCAGGTCACATCAGCCCTTCCTTCCCTCCCCACTGGGTCTCTCCCGACACTTTCTGCCCACTCCCACATCTTCTAAAAACTCACTTTGCAGAGAAAGCCTCCCTAAGGGGCTTTCATTTGAATATGACGTCTCTTTCCTGATTCGTCCCTGAATGCCAAGGGTTTTATAATTTCTAGGGAAAGGTCCTCATCACTCTGCAATCGCATAGGCACATACATGTGCACAGACATACATGCACATATGCACATGCATACAAGTGTGTCCATACACACAAAAATTTCTTTCCACTGTAAGCACTACAAGCTTACTATACAGAAACTCGAGCCAAGGACCAAACACTTCATAACATATTCTAATATATCACCCAGCAGGATGTAAAAGTAGTATTTATGGAACCCAAAAGCATCGGTGGATATAAACGTGCAAAGCTCACATGGGAAGCTCATCTATCGCGCACAGAGAATGATCTCTGAGCACTAGAAAACACTGCCAAGAGATGCTTGGCAGCTTGGTTTTCCTGTGCCATGGGCACCAAGCCAGGCGGTCAGCTGAAACCCGTCTCCACTCTCTCCGATCACACAGAATGGGGAATTTGTTCTTTTTAGTTCCTGAGGATTTATTTGACAGGGCATTTTTATGGCATTACTGGGGAGCAGAAGTCAAACTCTGGATGACAGCCAGAAACGTGGTTGTGGTCTGTTCAAGCACTATTGGAAGTCAGGAAGCTATAATGTGTGGAGACGCAGTAAACAGGCAAGAACCATGCT